ACTCTCTGTGTTCATTGTTTCAATAGTTTATTTGTAATGGATGAACATATTAGTTAAGTTGATAGGCCTATTTTAATTCAGTAGTCATCTAACACTGAAGAGGAACGCAGCCGCGTTCGAAATATTTGTTTAACAAAATGTCATGCTCCAAGAGTCAACGGCTTACGTCGATTTATTCTTCGACCCATGATTGTGTAAACACATATTTTTTTTAGAAAATAACTCTCCAACCCACACAGCGGTTCTTGGTGTACATTGGGGGAAAAGTTTACTAAAAATAATTATTACAAAACACCATACTTTGAAAAGAAAACATAGCTGTACAATGTGTTATTGTATATAACAAAAAGATTTTATTGCGAAACGAGGAAATATACAATATAATACTAACGTACAGTACAGTTCAGTGTGGATACAGGAATTTGAAATAGAGGGGAGCCAGGGAGGGGCTTTCACAGATGGCAGGTCTCAGAAGGTTGAGGTAAGAAAGTTATGATTATGACATCGTTAGATGGCCGGAAACGGCAGTCTTATGCTTAAGATTTAAATATTTTTCTTTTTCTAAATTTGTTTGAATTTTGAAAAAATTTAGAGATGGGTGGGGGTGCAGTGCGGGGCCGGCTTACCCACCTGAACCCGCTACTGCAGTTATTTGATGTTAAAGCCCCATTCCCGGCCAAATTTCAGTTGTTAAGAAAAATCTAATTTTTATATAATGTTATAAAGACTTATAAATATAATACGAAATTGTTTAACTAAATTTTGACATTCCTAAGCATGAAAAAAATGTAAAATACGACTGAAATTTGATTTTTTGTGTTCCACACAAAAAATAAATGCGGATGAATTTTTCATGTTTGATTTTGCGATAGGTCGTGCGAAGAAATATAGTAGGCGCCGAAAACATAAGTCTATCCAACACTGCTAGGCTAGGCTAGGTTACCTCGATTTAGATTCTGTTATCACACATAAAAACGGCCGACATGGTATATTCCGTTGCTAGTGTTGACACTTGTGAAATATAATATTTCATAGGAATTATTTCAAATTTGTTAAAAAACTGATTCTGACCGAGATTTTGACACTTAATTATCCCATTAGAGAGGGCACACTTTATTGACTGTATAAAGTATACATAAAAGCGAGAGTATTCCAGCGGATGCGATCTACAACCTCCGAATTTGCCTAGTAACGAAGAATTCGTCGAGAAAATGGTAATATTCTATGAGAAATAGTCTGTATTTCTCATTTTTTTTATTTTTTTGCGTAAAACTAAAATTTATGCCAATATTTTTCCATGATTTATAATAATTGGAGTAATGCATATGCATCTTTTCTATTAAAAAAAAAATCTGTTTTTAGTGAAATTTTGCCGGGAATGGGGCTTTAAGGTGTTTACTATTGTTCTTTAAACATCAAGTTCTTTACTTTCTGTTTCTTCAGTATATAAAATTGATTTGCTTACGAATATAGTTAAGTTATCTTAAATTGATTTGTATAGGAAAATATTTTGTATAATGATAATAACATACGATCAACGCTTGCGTTTAAAACCTCCCTTCTTAACTTTTATATTTTCATTTCAGCATGTACGAGTTGTTTTATTTAACTGACTCATTTTCTATAGAGATTTCTCTATTATAATACCACATAATATCATTAATTTTATATAGTGTACGCCCAGTGATGGCGCCAGGATCTGCCCGACAGGGGGGGGGTGTTGGGCTAGGCGAGCGAAGCGAGCCTCACTCGGCTGGTCGGGGGGTGGGGGCAGCCGCCTAGAAGCCACAGGGGGTCCAGCTACTGATATTTGACGAATTTTGGTAAATTTTTATCAGTTATTTGATAGGCATCGAACTACCGTAATGACTTCATGTATGTTTTTTAATGTCAAAATTCCAAAACCGATTTAAAAAAAATTTTTGAGAAACAAAGAGTATGCAATGTAACCAACTAAACTATATTCAAATCCGTTTTACATTTTATATTATTTTTAAAAAAAACACACCGTATTACATTACAATACTATCCTCCCATCATGGCGAAATCCAGGTTTTTCATAATCCATGTGATTGTGAATTATTAACAACAAAATTACGGATAAGAATAATGTCTTACTGTAAATTGTAAGGCCACCAATTTGTGACAATATTATACTACGATGAATTAAGAAAACACAATGTCACCGGGAACATCACAGTGCAAGTTATAAATTTTGGAAATTTTGCCTGAAATCTGTAAACCACGAGGTTGCTCCCCGATCAAGATGTATTCCAAGCATCATGAGGATATCCAAACGAGCATTTGTCATAGTAGAACGTAAACCATTTTAATTAGTCCCATTGAACAGGGGCGGATCCAGAATTTTTCAAACTGGGGGAGGAGCATTTGTATTTTTTTAAATTTCAATACATATCATTAATATGCACTGACATTTTAAAAACTAGTGTCAAAACGCTGTTTTGACACTTGACACTGTTCTGCTGACTTACGTTCCAATAGATGTTTGAACGTAATTAATTCATTGTGAATTAGAACATGTTGTTTCATGGGCTTAATTCAATGTGAAAAATAAAATATACGGTAGTCGGATAACTTAAAATAAAATGGCACGTGAATTTATGTTATTATATTATTATTATTATTATTATTATTATTATTATTATTATTATTATTATTATTATTATTATCATTATCATTATCATTATCATTATCATTATCATTATTATTATTATTATTATTATTATTATTATTATTGTTGTTGTTGTTGTTATTATTGTGATGAAAACTTAACACAAACGGTACACAAATATGTCAATGAAGGCGATAAGGAGAATGTAAAATATATATTTTATTTTTTTGTTCCCCGACGGAATGCATTCGTCTTCCCCGACGGGGGGCTAGGCTTCCCCGACGAGGGGAAGCTAGCCCCCCGTCGGGGCTCGTTAGTACCTTTCCCCGGTGTTATTTTTTGAGATACGTTGACAAGAATACTAAAACAATTTATCTATTTCTGTTTTGATCAGACAATGTTTCGAAACGTGTGATTCGGATTCATGCGATGCGCTGAAAGAACCGGTATTGACTGCAGTTTCAGATTATTCCAATTTGAAAGCAGAGGAGGCAAGGTATTGCAAGACATCGATAAAAAAGAAAACAAGCCAAAATAATTATTCGGACGAAATTGCTTGTAAAGGTAAAAAGCGAAGTCAGACGATGGCTCTAAAATCTTGCGACAAATATCAAGAAAACACGAAGTTTGAAGAAACTAGCGAGGAAGAAACAACCGACAAATTAAAGGATGTCGTGAAGAAAGAAGACGTCTCTGATTACTGGACATTTGAACCAGCCCATGTAATTCCATTATATCATCAATATTATTATTATTATTATTATTATTATTATTATTATTATTATTATTATTATTATTATTACCGATATTTATTATTATTATTATTAATTAATAATATCATTATTAGTAATATTATTAGGCCTATTGTAATTAAGCCTATTTATTTTTCTTAACATATCTCAATACTTCCACCAATTTTGACTGCAACAACAATTTAGGCTTTAACGAAATGAAATGATATTGTTCCAAATTGTCTTTCACAACAACACAAACAAGTAAGAGGTGATGTATTTGATCTGAAATGAACTCATGGGCTTATAATCCGGCTTTTAATTTATTTTCTAGGAAAATGTTCGGAATTGGGAGTCAACATTCAGAGTTTTATTGAAAGAAATTAATCAGTGTCCAAACTTGGACATCGTGATCTCTGATGATAAACGGATGGTAGTGGCGCTCGTTACTTCAACAGGTGCGACAATAAAATTCGGCCGCGTTGAGTTAACAATTCCTGAGGGAGCATTGAAAGAGAAGACGTTTGTGTTTATATACATGTTAGAATTCACAGAAACCCCTGGAAGTATCCCACTGTGTCCTGAAGTCATGTGCGGACCACCAGGCCTTCAGTTCGAAACCTACGTAACACTCACCGTAGAACTATTCCGTAACCTACCGGTATCAACCAGGTCACTATCCACAAAGGCGCTTATGTTATGTAAGCAAGAACCTAGTGACTGGAAGACGATATCTGAAGCTGATGGAAGCTCATTTATCAAAAACAACCGGTCATATACTTTGACCGACCACTTTACCAGATTTAAAACAGTGCTGGAGGAAACGAATTCAGACGGCACAGGACGTAAAATAAAGCGCTTGATAGAGATAAGCCTAAGCGAAAGAAATGTCCACGGGGAAAAAGAGATCCTGGTAGAATTCCGGAAGGTCAGTTTTGGTTCAGTAATGTTAACCTTATGATAGTTATACATTAATATAGTGAATACATTTACGCTCCTAGATATACACATTAAATATACAGTATGGTTTTCAGTTGACGTTCAGCCAGGATGTTTCAAGCATATATAATATATATATATATGTATATCTGTCTCTTATACACATCTAGATGTGTATAAGAGACAGAGATAGTACAGTGCATACATACACAACATGAATTTAAAAAGAAAAACTAACTAAATTTAAGACTATAATATAATAGATTTAAACATTTAAACGTCATACCATATAAAATATACTACAGCATACATTGATTATTGTATTTATATTTAAAAAACAGAATTTCCAGTATTGTCAACAAATTGATTCAGTCCAGTACGGTTACTGTGATGAATCTAGCACCATAAAAATCGAAGTTGGGGATCATCAGGTATGTTCTTGGAATAAACTGTAGATTTGGCAATCATAAGTGGAATTAGTCCCTAAACAGTACGTTAAATAGGTTAAAATGGTGAAATGAGGTTACTGTATCGGTAGTAGCCATATCACATAGCCACATACAGTAAAACCTCGATTAAGAAGCCCCATGATCTTAATCTCAAGAAGAAGCCCATCTCATAATGAAGCTTTGTATAATATTTAAACGACTCTGGTATGTACATACAAATTGTACATTTTCTGTTATTTCAGGATGACCTGCGAGTAGATTATGAGAAAATTTACCTCCTTACATATTTTCTCTTTGTTGCAGGAGGTGACATTTCCTCACTTTGCTGAAAACCTTCTTAACATAAACAACAATTTTTCCGCCGTCAGTTACTCTGCTCCATTTAAGGAAATTCCTATTTTTTGCAATTTTTACTTGGATGAATCCAAATTCCAAATGACTCCACAAAATAGCGAATTGGATACGAATCAGCTTTATAAGCCTACTATTAAGAAGCCTCAAACAAACGTGAACAACATCTGTTTGAAAGAACTCTGTTCCAAAATTGATATGGAAATGAATCGTGAATTTGAAGTGTTTCTCTTGGAAAATGTAAACGAAAACGAAAAGAAAATGCCTAGAAACATTGAGCTCACTGTGAGAAGGTTTCTATCTGAGAATGATGAAAATTTACAAAAGTTACAAGCCAAGCTACGTGAGTGTGGAATGGATGGAGCAGCCGACGCAGTGAATGCAATTCGTAAGAGCTTATCACTTCGTTGGTTATAAGCTGGAATATTAATATTAACACTTCTAAATAGCATGTAGAGCAGCAATAGTTCGTTTGGCTAGGTTTGTTGCTTGTCATGAAAATTTAGTCCTACGTATGTTTGTTTCGATTATCAACTTATTAATCAATTCATTTCCGACAATTTCTCTTGTAGCCGTCAATCCTGCTCGTCGACCTCTTCCCTCAACCTCAACTGATGATATTCAATCACTAAATTCATTAGCATCTGGAAATATTTTTTCTAATCAAGGAGTGGTAGACTCAAATTCCGGCTGTGGTCCTTTAGCACTTTCATATGGAGTCAACAGAGCCGACGACAAGGGGAAATGTAGGCCGGAAGAGCGTGAACAACCTGGAAATGATGAAGAAGCAAATCGAAAAAAGAGTGAACAGGATGGCAATCCCGAGCCGACTTATGAAAACGTCAAGCCTGTTCATAGGCAAAGTGAATTACAAACAAAGAAGGAACCTACTTATGTAACGCGAGACAAGAAAAACTAGACTGTATACCATGGATATAACTCCATTGGTGTGTAGACCAACCTTCAACACTGTTCAGTGTATAATTTACCTATAAAGAGTACGGTAGTTATCTTTCAAATGTAATGTATTCCGAGAAGACAACTGTGCAGTGGTCCTAAGAATAGGCTTACTCCTCCGGCTTGAATTATTTCTGAAATAAACAATTTAACAGTAGTCAGGGGTGGATCCAGCATTTGTCCGACGGGAGGTCCAATGTCCCCGACCGAGGGGGGGGGGGGGGGGAGGACGATGTCCCCGACGAGAACTTAAGTAGGCGGTAGTAGTTTCGGAGTAGTCCACGCAATACCCCAGAAACTAAGAAAATGTTAACATTCGACTACTAATAGGGGGACTATGTAAAAATTAAATATCGCCATTTTCCCCCGACGAATTACGTTTTTCTCCCCGACGGGGTGGAGGGGGAAGTTCTTTCCACACTGCCACTGCCCCTGCTAGATTCAAGGATCCGCGAAGTAAGAAATTTGGTTAAATCAGGTTACCATATCAGAATGCTACATGTCCGATACTGGCAAACGTTCTTGTTCTTTTTCCGCTCAACATTTGCGAACCCTCTTCCACCTAAGCTTCGACTAACTAATGTTCAATACTGATGCTTTCAAGACGCGGTCTTCAATAAGAGATTTAGGTGGCCGGGCCGGCCCCGACCACCCCCCTCTTTTTGGAAGTTTAAAGAAAAAAAAAACAAGAAAGAAAGAAAAAGAAAAAAATTGATCGTCCAAAACGCCTCAGAGGTTATTTTCGAGCGTCTAGAACACAAAAAAATTCGCTGGGGCATTCCCCCGGACCCTAGGGTAGTATTATCTCGATCGGCCCACTTTCGCCCCCCCCCCCCCCTCCCCCCCCCTATTTTGGACATTTCTGGATCCGCCCCTGGTTGCTGATACTAATCAACGATTGTGGTCGACCGCAGTTGCCACCAGCAGATATTTAACCCATTCATGATACAGTATGGTACTTCATAGTCGCCTGTCCATCATCATTGAAACCAATTCTAACAATTTCTCCACACGGTTCCTGTTGTTATCCTTAAATATAATGTACTTCTATGTTGATCTAAGAAACCTGCATAATGATTTTCAACATTTTAATTGCAACTCATTTATAATACTGTATTTATTCGAATAAACGCCCCTAGGCGTTAATTGTTGAGTTTTTGCAGGGTCTTTTATTCGAGGAATGCGTTTATTTTTATTAGTGTAAAATGGATAGGCCTACGTAAAATAGCCTACTCAAATAAACGCCCATTAATTTCACTGTAAAATGTGGAACTAAAACACATAGACCTAATTACCGTCAAATATGTATTGTAGGCCTATATCATCAAGACGTATTGATCCGAACCAGGTTAGAACAAAATATAATTCTACTGGAGTTGAACATTAATAGAATGTGTTAAGAATGATGTCGCTTTTATTAGATTTATTTACAATCATTTAGGAGAAAAAAATTGAGAGAGGCATTTTTTCCAAATGAGGCTCTAGCGGATGCGTATATTTAAAAGCGGAACATTTATTCGAATAAATACAGTTATTAAATTTTACATGTATTACTAAATGTTTTTTTAAATTTATTTTTAATGTACGTATTTGTTTGTATTCTTCCAGTGTATTTATATTTAATGTTTCTTTAGTGATACATTTTCTAAATTATATTATGCAGGACCATGTATTAATCAAATCTTTACTATTATATTCTATATTTAGAAAGGTTTCACTTTCATCTGCAAAAGCGGGACGTTTATAAAATTATAGTTAAAGACATACCAATATAGATTAGAGTATAATCTTGTATATGACATTATACTTTTTTGGCCTACTGGTATGATTATCTAACTTTTATGATAGTAACAGCCGGCAGCCATTTTGCCAGTGTTTATTTAGAAAGGTTTCTCTGTCATTTGCAAAGTTGGGACGTTTATAACATTATAGTTAAAGACGTACCAATATTAAATAAGAATATATTCTTGTATATCAAATCAAATCAAATCAAAATTAACATTTATTTCCTTCAAAACGTAAATTACAATATTCATTGAAATGTAACATATAAATAACATAAGTATTGAAGGGGGCACAATTCCGAAAAGCAGAGCTTGTGATGGATGTGCCCAAGACAATTAAATATGACATTATACTTTTTTGGCTTGTTGGTATGATTATCTAACGGCAGCCGGCGGCCTTTTTGCGAGTGTATCAGGTCCAAAACAATTTATGAATCTGCGGAACACAGACAATAATTACTAATGATTTGTTAAAGCAATAACAGTAGTCTTAATATCTTTTATTGGCTTTCAAAATTCAACTTTTGTTTATCTTGCTTGTCACTCTTAAGTTATTTTATTAAAAATATATATATATTGTTTTATCTTTGTATGATTAAAACGGCTTATTCTAAAAAAACAAACAATTTAGAATAAAATATAAACACTAACTTAATCATTTTTATAACTTTAAAGGCCTATATTTCTATGTTTGGTCATTTAATATTTTGTCAATCAAATACTTAATCTGTATATTTAAAAACAACACAATACATAAAAAATATATATTATTTTCAAGCTAAATAACCAGTAAGAAAAAATATGAATTTGATTGTTTTCCTTGTATGTCTATTTTGTTTTCTATTGTACAATGCAGTTGTATTTCAGTATTTTTTTAAATTCAATATTTCACTCAGAAGTATCTCACAAGGCAATCTCAAACCTTAGGAACGAGGTACCAACTAAAACATCTTAATTAAATAATGAAATTACAGTAGCAATTGGCACAAAAAGACTATTTAAGAAAAATTCAATTTAAACTTTGAACTCATTAAAATATATCAATCTAATCAACAGATATTTTACTACAAAAATCCTTAAGTTGATTATCATTAAATTTAATTGTCAATATGTAAAAGAATTAGAGGAAATGCATTTGTTTAACAGTCATGGGAATATATGTCAGGTGAAAAGTTTTCTCATTCAAATTTTAATAATAAGTCAACAATATTAACATAAAAATTACACAATTCAAATGGAATCTAATTTTTAGTTCATGACAGACGGTGATATTAAATTAATAACTGAAATTCAAAAATGTCCAGTATCTAAGATAAACGTCTGAACCTTATTAAACAAACAGTTAATTGACTAGGTCTGTACATAACAAATTGTTGTAATATGAACTTGTGTGGTTAAGGATAACATTTTCATATTTTGATTATATCTGTAATGGTTATAAGACCGTAAATTGCCGTATTTAGTTGTTGTATTGTATTGTCACGGCCAGTGCTTTAACCAAACATGTTTAATTTTCGTCATTACAATAAATGAGAATTTCCATCCGATGGTGGTTTTTCTTGTCTTTTCATTTATTTTGCCTGTGTATTCGCCGCTAGGGACACAAAACACAATTTTCATAATTTGTAAGTATTAAATGACACTCACTTTGAACACTTTCTTAAAAAGAAAAACAATAAGTATTTTATAATAAATAATTTAGAGTTACTTTTTTTTTTATAAGAACGTTTCATAAGAACACTGAGGCTGAAATTGTTTAAAAATTAAAAACAAAATTAGAACAAATTGAGGCCGAGGTAAAATATCAAATGAGGTTTAAATAAATAAAACAAAAAACAAAAAAAGAACAAAGAAATCAGGATATTCACATACAGTAAAATAATAATTAATGTTTGAAAAGGTTATATCAACATTGTATCTACTCCATTAATGTTATTAGATGCGATTTAATCTGAAGTTCAGGGAACGACACACAAAATACTCGGCTTAAAGCTTATGCTGAAATTTTTCCCTCAAACCAGCCATTCTCATCCAGTCCCCGTATATTTCTGCTAACAAGAAGGTCACAGATTGTATGGTACGGTTTAAAAGAAGAACAAATTAAGAACATTTTGAGCCTCAAATTGGCCAAAAAATGAGAACACTGAGTCTGAAAAAAATTTTACTGGTTCTTATATAAAAAAGTTTATTCAATTATAATTAGTAAAATAAAATTCTAAATATAGTGTAGAACAAAATAGAGTAACCAACCCTATCACACTAACATACGGTAGCAGATAAGTCTCAGTAAATACAGAAATATAAACATCAGGATCCCACACTAGACCAAAGTAAGGTACCTTACCTTAGACCAACACAAGCTCAACGGATTCCAGAGCCTTATAACCTTCCCCAACTCCGTCCCACAGGATCTCCTCCTAGATCGCTATTTCCTATGAAGTTGTCCCTTGGAAAAAAAAATTGATGGTAAAATATCTGTAAGTTCTAATTTTCTTTCCATTCATGTCGTTGCGTAATAATTATACAAAATGCATGCATGTAATCTATTTTCCTTATTATAACAATTTCTTAATTGAAACATAATTAACACTTATCTAAACATAAAACATAAAAGTGCTTTTAATAAGTAGTACAAAATATCAACTTCAGTGTTGATAACAAGGATGATGAAGATGACGATGATGATATAATAATGATAACAACAATATTAATAATAACAACAACACCAATAATAATAATATATACAATCATTCGTTATTTCAAAATATACATATCACATAAAAACGAAACGATACTAAAAAAAAACTATGATTGTGAGGATGATTATGACGATGACGACGACGATGATGATGATAATGATGATGAAGACGATGAAAATGATGATAGTAAAATTGGAGTAAGTACCTGGTACAAATGATTTCAACACCAATGCGTTGATTAATAGATGCAGTGTTACGAAATCCTACCCCAGAGAGCTCAGTATAGGCATTATGGTGTTTGATTCAATCATCCGGGTAATATAATGTTACAAGTACGCCTTGTTGGCATGATACAATATATATCCAGGCAATCATTAAACATAAGATTCACGAACGCCTATGTAGGTTATGTCAAAAAGTAACGTTAACACAACGTTTCAGCGACGTTTCCAAATTTATTTAGTCAGAAATTACGTTATAAATACCTATTATTTTATGTTACTACAGAAAACGTTTTGAATACCAAATTGCACCCTTGGTATAACGTTATTACTATAACGTAATAGGCCTATTCATAAGGTGGGATATCGTCATGACCATAATTATCATTATCATCATATCAATCATATAAATTATTATTATTATTATATTATTATTGTCATCATCATCATCATCATCATCATCATCATCATCATCATCATCATTATTATTATTATTATTATTATTATTATTATTATTATTATTATTATTATTATTATTATTATTATTATTATTGTTATTATTATTATTATTATCAACAACTTTTCAACTCGCCTATTTAAATTTTCACATGGCCCAGTTTCCAAATAGGCTAACACTGTCTTAATCGGAATGATAACATGCAACAATCTGCCCTCGAAATTTTCCCCCAAAAATGTCATAAACGTTTTCAAATTTTTCGAAATTCACCTCTATTATTGTTATAGGTTTATTCATAAAGGGATTTACAATTTGTTTTGTAAGTGCTTCATAAAAAATATTTCAAATTAGCACAAAAGAGTTTGTTTTTTTTTGTTTTTTTTGTTATTCACGGAGCTTACAATTGATACACCCCGAAGGCCTTACGTGTTTAATTCGACAAAAGCTTTTGCTGTGTTTAAATAACTGCTCAATACTTGGTTATTTTCTGCGTGTACTTTAGTATAACGATTTTCCTGTTCTTCCTGAATTCCGGAAAACTAGAACACAAACATGTCAAATACATGCGGTAATCATGATTTGGTAGCTCTAAAACTTGTAGCAATATACCAAATTCACTGTGGGCATTGAAGCAATCTACGGGTGATAAAAAAACTCAGTCAGCAGCAGATTGAGACGGAATTAGTCGTTTGCAGTTCACATTAAGGTAAGTTCAGTAACAGTGTGTCCGTGAATGAAAAGCTAGCCAACATTTAATAACAGGTGTAATAGCGATAACAGTAATAGGTCTAGTAGTAAAATTAATTGTGATCATTCAGTGGTACCATATACTCCGCTTCGTAATATAATAATAATGATTATGATGATGATGGTGATAATGATGATGATATGATGATGATAATAATAATAATAATAATAATAATAATAATAATAATAATAATAATAATCATAATAATAATAATAATAATAATAATAATAATAATAATAATAATAATAATAATAATAATAATAATAATAATACTAACATCAGCAACAACAACAGCAGTTACAGGCCAGCAACAACATGATCTTGCCGAGTTGAGCACTTAGTGCAATTGCTTACTTTCCACCATATTTTGAGCACCATTCCGGAAAATTCCTAACTTGTGTGTGTTTGTGCTTATCTCACCAGACAACAAAAAGTAGCAGCAGCAAAAACAACAGCAGCAGTACGCAACAGCAACAGTAGTAGCAATAGTAGTAGTAGTAGTAGTAGTAATAAAAATAATAATAATAATAATAATAATAATAATAATAATAATAATAATAATAATAATAATAATAATAATAATAATAATAATAATAATAATAATAATAATAATAATAATAATAATCGAAATAAAACACCTCCTGTGATTTTAACTCGACTACCCTATGGCTTTTAATGTCTTCTTTTATCTGCAAAATGCCTATTTTTAGACGAATATTAGTTAATTTTTATTTCAGTTTATTCAAACTTTCGAAACGGAGAGATGAAATGTATAATAATATCTTCTACCTCTTTACGTATCTGATTTTTTTAGCAAACATCATAAAAATATGTAATCATTTTAGGTTTATCTGGGGGTTTTTAATAGTGAAAAGGAAATTTTTAACCACACGATCTTGTGGTTCTACCAAACCTCTTTCTTTCCCAAAAGAGTTATTGTGCGCGACGATGTCGAAGATAATAGTGAAGCGACCGTGCATATCACACACAACAATTCACTCAATATTGCAACATGTTTTGCCTTTTTCTCTTCCTCTTTTCTTTCTATTTCCTTTTCGCATCATACCAAAGCTGTCTATTATTTCCACTTCATTCTATATTCAAATTGCTTTATTTAAATTTAGGATTATGTATATAGCTATATATTATATGAATATAATGTAGGTCTTCTAACCTAAATATATGGACATAATATATAAATATATGTACATAATATGTAAATATATGTAGTATTGTAATGTGATGGGTACAAGCACAACACATTATTATAGTTGATATGTTGAATAACATCATAGGCTATCTAATTTGGAGAATCCAGGTATTTATCGTACAGTAGACAAATTGACTACCGCATTCCATAGAATTAATCATGATATTGCCATGACCAAGATGATAAAATCTGGTGTTAGGCATTTAATCATTCCAGCGATTTGCAGTTTCTTATCCTATCTCACCCAGTCAGTAGCGTAACAATGGGGCGCTTCCTGAAACTGGGGGCCCTTTTTGGGTCTCGGTTGCCAATTCCATCGTGTGATTTTAGATGTGCTCGCCTTTTAATCATGTTTACATTGTTATTCTAAATGTTCTTAATGACGAATTATTTTTATGACGGATTCAGTTATTTGAAATAAAGGGGCCATGGAGGGACTTCCACAACTGGAAAGTCTAATAGGGCCTATACCGCCTCAGTCCCACCATGGTTGGGCCTGAGCTATGGCACCTCTAGCTGACCGGAAATGGCACTCACAGACACAATATTGTGAATAGACCTATAATTTACTCTTTATCTCCATTTAAAAACTATTTTGACAAATCTAGTGGGGCCCTGGACCGGCAAGCCCCCCCCCCCTCCTCTTTATTGCATCACTGGATATATGTCCTACAGTCGTATCGGAGACACATTTGATGTTGCCCTGGGGACTAAGATAAGAAAAAATATGATTATGGCACGTCTAGATGGCCAGAAATGGCACTCACAGACTTAAAATTGTAAACATAATTTTCTTTTTATTTAGTACGTGGGGTCCCGGGCCGACAGGGCGTTCCTCCCTTTAGTCCGCCACTGGATATGATATAAGCCCTACAGTCGATTTCAGAGACACATTATGGTGTTATGTATCAACAAAGTCATTTTTGGTCAGGGTGGTCGGGCCCCTAACTGCCGGGGCCCTGCAGACCGTCGCATGAGCGCATATGCGTTACGCGCGGTGTTAAATTTAAAGCTGCCGCACACGAGAGCTATCTGCTTACGCCAAGTGTCATTTCTTGGCATTTGGCGTACGCACATAGCTCTCGTGCGCGGTGCAATTTCGAACGTTTTTTTGTCATTCGTGGCGCTTAAAGGCCAAATATCTATCGTGTTTGATTTTTTTTGGCACGCGTGCCAAATTCACAGCGTGTGCGGCGAACAAAAGCTATCTGCTTACGACCCTTACGCATACTACGCATGCGTAACCATACGCCACGTGTTCTAAATATTTATTTATTTTATTTATTTATTTATTTCATTCCATCCGACAGCGTAAAACGCCAATTACAGGATTCATAAAATTCAATATAAAATATTTATGTACAATATATAGAAATTACATTATAAAACAATTAAAATTAATACAATAAAAATAGAAAATAGCACACGATATAAAACAGCAAACCTAAGTAAATACAATTGATAATACCAGAAATAATTAGCTTGCGCTTAACGATTATTACACTTTAAATTTGTTTAACTGAACTGTAAATCGCACCCCACAAATGGCAGCGTCTACTATTACTAGTCAATTACTGGCCAATGGTATTTACTGTACCCTATAGTCTTTTCTTCCTTCATCCTTTATTCTTTCACAATTTTACGTTTTATTCATATTTTTCATAATGTTATACTCTCACATGATAGTCACTCATTTAGTTAGGCCTAGGCTAGACCTCGGCTATGCATTAATTACATATTATTTAAATATACAATTTTAATAGATAAGATTAGTTTAACCTGGACCTAGTAATTCGTAATTACACAATACATTAAATTTAAATGTAAATATAATAACGTTAACGAATGAATAACAATAATTAAAACGTGTACATAGTATCACTACTACAATAATAACATTAATATTTTTCAATCTTATAATAAATTTTATATAGCCGGAGTTAATATAAAGGCTTTTTCTATGAAGAGAATGACCTGTACGAAACACGAACTCTTGTAGACCAAATCCAGTACTGTTACGATTTTAATCGTGCGGGAAATATCCTCAAGATGGGTCACCCTCTTGAAATATGGTATTAAATAAATAAATAAAAGACTGCCGATCTAATCGATGGTATTGGCGGAATTTTTCCGGGTCTTCAGCTGACAGTTCTTTTATCAACCTGGAATATGCCCCTTGGTTCTCTCTTCTCATTATCCATTATTCAGTCCATATTCAACAATAATATGGCCAATAACACCTCATCCTCATCTGAAGAGCTGCTATTGTCCATAATGATGCCATAATATTAAAGAGGTGGGGTGCAATTTACAGTTCAGTCAAACAAATTTAAAGTGTACTGGTAATAATCGTTAATAATTTAAGCGCAAGCTAATATTTAGAACACGTGGGCGTATGGTTACGCATGCGTAGTATGCGTAAGCCGTAAGCAGATAGCTTTTGTTCGCCGCACACGATATATGAATTTGGCACGCGTGCCAAAAAATATCAAACAAGATAGATATTTGGCGTAAGCGCCAGGAATGACAAAAAACGTTCGAAATTGCACCGCACACGAGAGCTATGTGCGTACGCCAAATGCCACGAATGACACTTGGCGTAAGCAGATAGCTCTCGTGTGCGGCAGGCTTAAATTTAACACCGCGCGTAACGCATATGATAAAAAAATATAAACATGTGGAGTATCCTCCGGGTACCAAACTGGAATCCAGCATATTCACTGTAATGGTAAATGATGCGGGTGCCCCAACTAAAAATTGGAAGTTTGTTGATGACTAAACCCCGGGGGAGGTAATAAATACAAGGAAAAGCCATACTTACCCACCCAAACTTCAAGGCCATCTGATGCATTAAACAACTGGTGTAAACCAAACAATATGCTCCCTAAAGCAGCCAAGTGCCATAGTTCTTAATGTTCATGAAAACCCATTGATTTGAATCTGAATAAACTATAAGTGGGAAAAATATTAAAGTTGTTGATAAAATAATATTGTTAGGTGTTGAAATACAAGAAAATCATTTTTTCTTCTGTTTTTTTTTTCTATTTTAAATTTGTTATGTCTATTGTTTCTTTCTGTTGTAAAATTGTTCGTACATTTAGATATATTTTTAGAGTATTAGAATAGTAAATAATTTATTTGATTGTATTAAATAAATGTTGTATATAGCAAATTACTGTTCTCTATTTGTAATTGTAAGTTGTTGTATTTTCATAGTATTCCAATGAGCAATCTCTTGTAATAAATTAATTGCTTTATTATTATTGTAATATTTTGTAATTGTTAATGTGCATTTTTTTGTAATACAGACAATTTTAGCCTCGTGCTACTTCTTTGTATTTATGTATTTATCTTTTATATCGTAATATATATATATATATATATATATTATATATATATATGTATATATATATATATATATACAGTATATATATAGAAAGAAATGTAATTGTGAGTGTTATATAGGCCCTATAGGCTTAAAATATATTTTGACAACGTTTAATTTGTTTGCCAATGTAGCCTTATCCCATGTATTATATTTCGAATTTAATCGAAAAACTAATGGCATCATCCCACTCTCTTTCATACAGGTTGTGGTACATCAGGTTTCGTAATATGACCGACGAGGCGGAAATTGAAGTGCCCTCTGACTCACGCATAGGCGGCGGCCTACTACGAAACCGCCCTTCGTCGAACAGGCGGGATAGACCACCTGGCATATTATTGATTACTGATAGAGATCTACCACCTGTACCTTCATCGCCTGTGGATAAGGATAATTCCATAAAGCGAATAAATCCTATGTTTTCAAAAGATGCACCTTATAAGCATGTAACACATTCTGAACTTCATGATGCAATACAGCGCCTGAAGCCTGTAAAACCAACAGATGCTAATGTTAATGAGACTGAAGGTTCTCCAGGTCAAACCTCGCAGAAGGATGACATGGGTGACAATATTCAGACAATGGTAGATCATCAACAGCCAGCAAAACTACCGGTATTTAATCAGAAACAGCCTATGGTCAATATATCTCTAACACCGCCGTGTTCAGAAAAAGGGACACAACGGAGTAAAGAAACGGATGGAGTTGGAGATGAAACCGAGAATAAACATTGTTCATACCCACATGGAAAGACCCCAAAGCTAGAAACCCAGGGAAGCAAAATTTATGATACTCATATACCAAGAAATGAAAACGAAAAAGGAAACAAATCTTTCTGCAATCAAACTGTCTCTGTCAACGTAGAGAATCCCGATAACTCTGACGCAAATTACGATACCGTTCAAGAGACAAGTAATGAAAGTATGTATGCCACAATAGCTGACGTCATTAGACGAAAAGAGTCAAAGCCATTTGTTCCCACACAGAAAAGTACGAAATCTAATAGTTTGCCAGATATAATCGTACCAGAATCCATTTCGAATATAGAAACGTTAAGCGTTAATGTTCCGAAGAATCTGCCGTATGTACCCATGATTTCTAAGGTAAAACTCGCACATGTTTTCAGGGTTTTGTATAGCATTCATTGCCACTTGCACCTTACAGTACTAGAATAATCATATAATTTATAATGCATAATGGGGAGAGTGGCGAGACCCAACAAAGTCCAACACTTTTGAGAGTTTTAGAGTGGTTATTGTGGTCATTACAAACGTGTTTCAATTTATTGAATATATACAATATTAGTTGTATTATTTCTATTAGGCCTACATAGATGGTGCATTATAAAATACTTTAGCACGCGGTATGTCGGATTAATTACAACATACTATTGCAGGTCTACACTCTTAAATCAATTTCTTGATGTTCTGAGATACATTTTATTCAATTTAAAGGCGTTTTAGATATTGTTTTTTTTTTTCTAGTTTTGTGTTCCCTTCCTTTAGACTCCACTTCCACTATCCCCGCGGAGCGACATCTCATCATTAAATCTTCCTAGAACAATTGAAACAAATTATGATGAATTAGAATTTGGCTATAAATTTTCTGTCACAAAAATATCATGGATTCGATCACTTTGGTCCCATTTCACAAGGGTGGCGCCAGTGGGGCCCCCCTCGGGGAGTAAAAGCACAATTCGTCGGGGAGAAAAAAATATTATATGTATCTTTTACATATTAGTAGACTCTAAAATCGATTAAATAAGCCTTTGAAATCCTTAAATTGTCGAAATTTTCTCCCCCGCCCCACCCCGTCGGGCAAATCCTGGCGCCACCCCTGCCATTTTACACAAATTCTCTTGTTTTTATAGCTGTGTTTTCTTTTTTCTTTAGACTCCTCTTCCTCTACCTCCACCTCCACGGAACGACCTCTCAGATATAAATCTTCCCACCATTGAAACAAATTATGACGAATTAGCATTTCGCTATGAAGATTTTTTGTCACATATCAATCATGAATCCGATCCTTTTATTGCCAACTTTACACAAGACAATTTCTCTGCTGCGCTCTTTAAAGAAGAAGGCGGAATTTTGAACGTGAACGGTGCACACCTCACTATACCAAACGGGGCAATAAAGACCCCCACAGTTTTGTTTCTCTACTGTGCTGGCAACGACTGTGAAGATATCGAGCAACACGGAGGATTATCTATGCAGTACCAGGTCAGCCCAGTTATAATATGTGGCCCGAAGACTGCATTCGATGAGTGTATTTTCTTAACGCTTAATAAATACGAAATTGATGATAGTGAGTGGACTTGTTCGCCGCAGAGCAGAGGATCGGACGAAACCAGCAAATGGGCGCCAATTAAAGATTCGGACATCTCCATTCAGCAGGGAAATCGATGGGTTTACGCTCTTGAAAGCTTACGTGGCCTGACAGAATTTAAGCTAGTTGGATATCCAATACGTAGGGCTCAAGATGATTCTGACGGGATGTACGACGTACCGATCGATCATTACATAACAGTGCAGATGAGTGCAGTCATCGATGACTCGAAAAACACTGAATTACTGACAATCACAATGAGGAAGGTAGCAAAAACTGACCCAACGAATTCAACAGTAAGTACATCAAAGCACATTGGAACGAAAAGCTACACATTTTACATTCGACTTGTATGAAACATAAACAACCATATTAGGCGAGCGGTAAGGCAGGGGCGTCGCTAGCTACAGCCTTAACATCGGCGCTGGTTCCAGCCGCTCCTCGCCCAAGGTTCGGTTGGTAGAACCAAGTATTCTCGGATAAGGACTTAAAATGGAGGTCCAGTGTATACATCTGGCTCGTGTGCACTTTAAAGAACCCATTGCATCTTTCGGAAGAGTAGGGGGTTACCCCGATGTTATGGTTCATTTCAGTCCCTGTCGTTGTGGAATGATGTGAACATGTATCTACCAAGAAGCTCCTCTTTACGGCTGCTAGGTAGTCACAGACCACGCCCATACGCAATTCAGCACAATGACGCTGAAAGTTATGGGTTATTCTCCTACCTTCCTACCTACCTTTATTTGTTTTATATATATTTTGATAAAAATATAAATTATGTTTACACAAGGAAGTCCAGGATTAGCAAAAACTAAAACTTATCATGAAAGAGTAGGCACAATTACTAATAATATAAACACTTCTTTTAGATTCAGAAAGAAACAACATTCTTGCTTAGCCAACTTGGAGGGGAATTTCTCTTAATGAAGATATTTGGAGAAAATGAGGTATGTCGAGTCGAGTCAATTGTTATTTTATGAAACTTACCAAATCGCTATAAAATAAATATGCATGATATTAACATAATTGTAGGCATATTAGGAAAAATAACTCTCTTCGTCAACAGTCTGCACTCCAGTTCACCAACGTTCTAATTCCGAAACCACCAACATTTTTCAATCTTTTAACATAAAGATATTTTTTCTAATTTGAGACTGAACCCCGCGACCACCCCATATTTTCAGGTCCATTTGGTGGTCTCGAATTGGAGGGTAAACTGTATAAAGTGATAATATAGGATTATTTTGTTTTAAGCAAATAGGGATTCGACCTCAGGACCGCTTGTTAACTTTATGATCTACCAAATATAAGGAAAATGAGTAACTAGATGTTATTATTAGGACAACCCGTGGTAACATCGTACGGTGAAACTGTCCTAATAATAAGATTTAGTGGTATAATTAAACGATTAAAATTAAGAGGGATATCTCTTTTAAAGAGACAACCCGATTAAGAGGACACTTTGCTGACTGCGAATCGAGTAAAATCTTATAATTTAACATTACGTCTGAACAACAATTCAAGAGACACACCTATTAAGTGGACACTTATTTTAGTCCCGAGTGTATCCGATCTCGAAAAGGGGTTTTACTCTCGGTTATGTTTTGTATTAAAGAAAATTCATATAGGAAGCATGATATGTGGTCGACAGTCATTTATAGAGTGTTCATTCAAACTTCCGAGCACGGGACGTAGAAATTTACCAATCGAATTACGACAGGAACTGAAAAAGAAAAGTTTCCAACTGAACATCATTCGTAAAGATTCATTGACAAACAAGGTAGGTGTTCATATATTGCTCATTATTAAATTAAAGTACTCTCTTCATGTAAACGATGAATTTTTACTCGAAAAGAATGCCAGGGATCTCTCCAATTTCACTCTTTCTCGAGTGAAAATTCACCCTTAAATGAGTGAATATTTATCTTAAAATGGTGAAAAATTACTAAAATTCACTCTGAATAGAGTGAAATCTCACTCTTTCTATTTCACTCCATCAGGAGTGGTTCCTGTAGGCACACTTTCACTCCATTTTTACTCTTTTGCGTTTAGAGAGTATATTATCCTTGATAATTAAACAAAATATATAATGAATTTAAAACTAATGTAACGGTGCCGAACGCTGTATTTTAATTGGCCCAATTTATTTAATTTGAAATTAATTAATGTTAAATTTTAACTGGAATTTTTTATTCATATAGTAATTTGAACATTTGAAATTGAATCTTTATTCAAAATAATAATTTTCTATAAATTACTATCTTGATGTATTGATTATGCTTTAATTGTATCTTGTAATTGTAATTGGACAAATAAAATTGAATCTGAATCTGTAAAATCGATCCCACTTTACGTAACATTCCTACTGAATTTGACATTCTCCATCCCGAATTTTCTGAAAGTGGAATTGGGAAGAACTCCTAATAAACTCGGCTCTGGAGAGCATTTTAATAAGGATTTCTGCCCGCTCCAAAAGACCCTGCCCCAGAGAGATGGAGGTGAGGGTTCATCCATCAATGATCAATTAAAAATATTTAAATACACAATATGTACAAGACACTAAAATATATTACTTACTACTATAAAATTACTATATTAATTACTACTATATATAATGACCATTTTTGTTACTTTTGAACAATGATATAAAAATGTGAAAATATGTCATTGTACGAAAGGTTGCAGTATTGAAAATTTTCTGCAAAAGTCCCTAAAAATTTACAGTGTTATTTGACAATAGGAAAGGTCTAGTACTAAAAGTTGCTCAACAATATAGAAATCCCTATAGAACGTTTCTGTCTTTTTCAAATCAAGGCTATCCATAAAAACGGGTTTTTTTTTCGATCGTGAGAAAATTAGATTATTGATGTTTGCCAACTCTATGTTCAATCGGCAGCTAAAAAGTGCATTGCTGTTTACAGAATTCAAAAATACAAAAATGTATAAGGAAGTAGCTGATTACGGTTGGTTTTGAATAAACAAAATAAAATTTCGGTTTTTTTAAATATTGTGCACCTAAGTTTATTTGATATTTGTCTTTTTATATTGATATTTACAGATAATGTGTTGAATTAAAATGTTACCGTAACTTTGCTTTTAATATAAAGAACTTGTTTTCGAACAAAAAAGAGGATTAATTGATGTTCAAATTAATGTATCATGCCTTGAACATAGATAAATGGTAATTACTATTTAGGCTAAATATACATAAATCTGTCAGTCAGTCAGTCAGTCAACCAATAAACCAACCAAAATCAACCAATTATTAGGCCTATCCACATAAAATAAATGCCAACACAAAGTCACTTATAATCAGTTAATTCTGTTTGAAGATGTTTTGTTATCACAACTACTCCTGAAATGATTTAAATTAAAATACATCAGAATCGTTTACTCTAACATGCATAAATATAAATATTCAAGTGTTATTGTTTTTATTAGTAATATTTATCATTATTGTTACTAACTAACACCTTACCAACGTAATTGGAAATATTAGGGTGTCTTACTCTATTTATTCATCTCATTGCATTGGTAGCTGCAGGATGGTGCTACTCAGTGGGTGAAAGATATTCGAATTTTCTGCACGCTTTTATCGCAAAATCGTTTTAAAAAGATAAAAGAATGTGCTGAACCTGATCACTGGGCTCAATTCTGTAAGCTAGCTTTCCAATTCAGTGATGCACAGGCAGATCATTTCAGGAAACTTCCGTACTGTCGCTCCCTTGCTATCAACCTCTACATGGCCATCAATGACACTTGCGGTAATACACTACAGGTCCTCACACCGCTTCGGATATTACTGGAAAAGGCTGACATTTTCCAGGCCCCCAGTATAGTGGAAGGTGAAATTAAAGGTAGGCATTTCTCATCGTTTTCACCCTCGCAAGCCATTTAATAAAGGCCAAATAAAATCTAAAAAATCCAAAACATAAAACTTGTCATGTTTATCAGTGGTGGACCCTGGAATTTGAAAACAAAGTGGGCCCAGGGAGGGACTTTGACAGAAGGAGGGTCTATACCACCTCAGCCCCCACCATGGTTGGGCTGAGGTAAAACAATTTACGATTATGTCACCTCTAGATGGCCGGAAATGGTACTATAAGACTTATAAAAATAAAATATTATGCCAACAGAGAACGAAAGCCTCGCTTCCTCTTTTCAAATTGCAACCACACAGAGTCATATACTAGTCCTGGGCTGGCTAACAAGTAGACCTACTGGTTGATTGGATGTGTAAAAATATTCTATCATCCCATAACCTACTTCGATCTTCATTTTACTCTTTAAGAACTCTTATCTTTGTGTGAAACTTCGGACGGGTACATCCCTGAGGATTCAGGAAGCGATGACAACGGGGACTACGAAAGTGACAATGAAATTGATTCAATGTATGCATCAATCTTGGAGAGAAGAGCATCGATGCCATGACTGGAAGCAATGACAACGGGGACGGCGACAGTGACAATAAAATAAAATGAACTCAATTCGCATCTGTCATCGAAAGAAGAGCGTCGGTCGATGCATGACCAGAAGCCTGGAATGACAACGGGGACGGCGAAGCAGACAAGATTAACTAAGGGCTTTCCACTTCATTGGTAGGCCTATTATACCATGCCATACACACCAACCGATTTGGTAATGCATTTGATTTATACTGTGCTACTATATATATTCAGGTATACTTTATTCAATAAATGACAATTGACCTACAAGCAGCCAAGGGCTGAAACCGTAGTCTCACAAATAAAGTTACAGAGGCCTACTTAAAGCATAAAAAGCACTACGAAAAAGAAAAAACAAGAACCACTTACAAGTTACAACATATTATTTAAAATTTTGGCAATTGTAACAACAGGTGACCTTTTAAATTGCTCGGATTTGCCAAAAGGATTCTCAAATAAAGGGCGGGATCGCAGGTCTATACCAAGTTGGCGACAAGGAGAGGGCATGTTACGAAATAAATCAGGCAAGAAGTTTCTTACCAAAAGACAACAAATGATCCCTCCTCGTCGACAGTGATGGAAGACCAGCGATCTCACACGAGTCAACGTATCTACGATCAGTTCCCAAAATTATTCTAAGGGCGCGCTTCTGAATCCTTTCGATGGCACGAGATTTTTTTTTATCAGTAAAGCCGAATACTCACTGCGTCGTACGACCGTCGCACGACGAATCCACATTTGCTTACGGCGAGCGATAGACGACGCAACGCCGTCTGTTCACTGTCAGTGTGGCAATCTGAACGGATCCTCATTAAAAAGACGATCCATTGGGTCCGCGTCTTCGCGTGCGTTCTTCGTCGCGTTGCCGTCGCGTCGCTGTCGCACGCAGTGAGTAACCGGCTTAAGATAACCATGCCACACAGGACATGCATATTGTAATAATAGTCTTATATAAGACACGTAAACACTAATACGGTCAGTTACAGGAACATTTGCTCTTTTAAGAATGCATAATGCTCCTACGATATCGTCAGCATGAATATTCCATCTTTACTTAAAAAATACTAGTCTTCTGAAGAGCATATTGCAAAGGTCGCTCATATATTTGGTTTTGTGTTTTTTTGATACTGTATAAATATTTTTGCAAAGATTATTGTCATACATGTACAGACTTGTAAAGAGGTAGAAAATTATTAAGAATACTTTCATTCGTTGTCCACCAATCTTTGAGGTAAATATCATTATGAATTGTTTTATGGATTTCTGGGGTGCCCTGGGACGCACATCAATTTAATGCTCAATGATTAACCTTGCTTCAGGGGTGGCGCCAGTATTTGCCCGACGTGGGGGGGGGGCGAGGTCCCCGACGAAGGATCAGATTTCCCCGACGAAAGCAAAGTGAGCGTGGTCGACCTTAGATTAAAAGGCTGGGGCAAAGTGGTCCTGGAGGAGAAGCCCCTGAAAATTTAGGGGTTTCAAAGGCTTATAATCGATTTTATAGTCTACTAGTGGAAAATAGGCTACATATAATTTCTTTTTCTCACCGACGAATTGTGCTTATTCTCCCCGAGGGGGCGGGGGGATTCGGATTTTCACTAAATGTTTCGTATTTAGTATTTAGTGATTGTAAGGCGTCTTTAAAAAGCCATGTATATAAATAGGGCCAACCTATTAAACACCGGGAAATTTAGCCTACGCTAATGAAACCTGCAAAATTCCCACATTATTAGTCATACAGTGCTGAATTCTTCTATCGTTTCTAGAAACTGTTGCACATAGATTGAAGCAACTTAGTTTTTAAGTAAATTTTAAATTTATTTTTTTAGCAATTTTAAGGGTCTTATAATGAAAGAGTAAATAATTGGTAGCCTATTGTTTATGCATCTATGGCAAGGATATGTTTTCCAGTTTATGTTTTCATTCTAATTATATATATTATATTATTGAAATTTGAGCATTTCAAATATTGAAATACAGGAAAAGGTGATTGAAAGTAGATCACAAGCACTCAACACTGCCAAGAATCATCCGGGTTCTTTGGCGATTGCACAATTTTGACAGACAAGAGATAAATCGCACCTGTGCTTAATATTACGGGGGGTTTTTTTTAAATGTTTTTTAATAATTACCTATTCTTAATAATAGATAATAATAAATAAATAAATACTTAATTTCAAGTTGACGCCTGTGTACTTTAGCATTGGGAATAATGGAAATAAAGAAGAAATATAAGATTGCTGGTTTGATTTTTTTTCTTGCTGTCAAGTAATGTGAACATTATAAAAACAAAGGACAGTACAGTAATGAACTTGTGACACTCAATAATATTAGAGAAAATTATTATGATACTAAGGACATACAGTATTGACAAAAGGTTTTATACAATGGGGGAAACCCAATATCAATGGCCACACATCTAACAATAACAAATCAATACAAAACAATTTACAATAGCAATATTAGTACAAAATAATACCAATAACAATAACAAATCTAGGCAATTTGACGATACAAGAGTGGATACAAAGGCAAACAAAGTGCAATCATACATGTCAATCCGGATGACGGAGTGTTTGTTCGTATTTTACCACCACAGTGATACCGTGTCGATGGTAGGCCATTTCACCAGAAATCAAAAATAGGAAGAAACTCTTTATACCCTTTGTGCATTCATTTACTTGGATGCAACTTCTAATCAGAGACGAATTGAAAATTGATTGAAATTAGCCTGAACTACCGGTAAGTAAAAATAATTGTGAAAGTGAAAATGTCGCTATTTTATGATTTTACTGTTTTTATCATTGACGTTATTTGTGTTTTCTCCTTATTCATATTGTACATTTCAAAACTCATATTTGTTTTGCAATAAATTTATATTGAATTGAATTGAATTATTAATATTATTGTTGATGCTGTTGTTGTTTCTGTTTCTGCTGCTGTTGTTTTTATTGTCGTTATTGTTGTTGTTATTATTATTATTATTACTCATGATTATTATTACCGTATTATTTTAATTCAATTCAATTCAAAAGACATTTATTTTCGTCCATAAAAAAAAACAACAATGAAAGAGAGAGCAAAAAGTGCAATGCGAACAAATATATAAAAACAAATTCAAAGATATTGGCCAAGTACATTATTTTTTATTAAAATTAAAATGTATGGACGAAGGCATATTCCCTAAAAGATTGAGATCATGTGCCGGGTATGCCTGTAACAAAGAAAAGATACAGAAAATAATATATGATTAAGCAAAGGAGAAATCGATAAGTGAAAAAAACAAATGAATAATATTAAAAATCTGTCTCTTATACACATCTAGATGTGTATAAGAGACAGAACAACAACAACAAAAAAACAGGACAACTATATTTCAAATTACAGAACATGGAATAATGACCGAGTGTAACATTTTTCTACTAGTACAGTGACAAAGGTGAGATTTTAGTTTCTTGGAGAATGAGTTAAGAGAGGCAGCATCTAATATTGTAGTAGGTAAATTATTGTACATTATAGGTCCAGAGTACCTAATACTATGTTGGAAATAATTTGTGTTGTGGAGGGGAATGTGAATGAATGGTTCGAGTGAGGTATTTGTGAATGGAGTGGTTAGGAACAAACATAATTTAAATGATTTGGAAGAATGGAGTGAGTGGCAGAGAATACAAACAAACCTTGTTGAAATAAATTAATATCAGTGAGTTTTAGGAGATTTAGCTTAGAAAATAAATGGGAGGAATGCGACCGTGGTGGAGTGCCAGATATAATCATTACAGCTTTCTTTTGTAGAATGTTGAGTTTATTGGTGTTGGTTGGATACGTGTTGGCCCATACAATATTACAGTAGCTCAAATAAGGAAGGATGAGAGAACAATAAAGGGTTTTGAGGATACTAAGGGGTAAAAATGAAGATAATCTGGATATGATACCTAAGGCTTTTGGAGACTTTATTCTCAATTTCTTGTATGTGGTTTTTCCATGTAAGGCTATTGTCGATGGTAATTCCTAAGAATTTTGCAGATTGGACAGATGAAATTTCATGGCTGTCAATAAGAATTTTATGAGTAGAGACAGTACCTCTAAGTAATCGTGGAGTTCCAAACAGGATGAAGCTACATTTATTTGTGATTAAGTGAAAGTTTATTAGCAGCAAGGTATTGGGACAAAGGAACTACATTAGAGTTAAGGGTATCAAATAAAGTTTGTATGTTTTTATTAGAATAAAACACAGTAGTATCATCAGCATATAGAAAAAATTTAATACATTTGAGGAGAGATGAATATCGTTAATGTAAATAGTAAATAGCAGAGGGCCAAGTAAAGAGCCTTGGGGAACACCACAAGTGATAGGACTGAATTCAGAAGTAGAATTAAAATATTTGGTAGATTGGGCACGGTTAGTAAGTGTAGCTTTTAAACAGGACAAGTGCGGGTCCGTGGATAGTGAGCCAGTTTGTAAAGTATATTGTGATCGTATAGAAATCCTTGGAAAGATCAATGGAAAGTCCGATTCCAAGATGGCGATATTCAAATGCTTCTATAATTTTATTTGTAAGGTCGATGAGAGCCATTGAAGTGTTATATCTCTTTCTGAAGCCATATTGCTTATTGAAAAGTATGTTGTGTTTATTGATGAATGAAAATGTTTTATCACATATATCTTTCCAAGGCTTTCGAGAAAATTGACAAAATAGATATAGGACGAAAGTTTCAGAGGTTTGATTTAAGACCAGATTTAAATATAGGAGTAACGCGTGCTAGCTTCATCCTATTTGGAAATACACCATTGCAGAGAGCAAGATTAAATATATGACATAAAGGAAAGGAAATGAGATTAATAATATATTTAATGGCTTTAGTATGAAAGTCATCAATACCGGGAGCTTTATTGTTATCAAAAGAGGAAATCTAGTTATCTCATCTTCGTTTACTGGGGTTAGAAATATAGAATTTGGATTTGAGTTAGGTAAGAAGTCTTTGAAAGAAACGTTAATGAGGAATTTTGTTAGCGAGGGATGATCCAATTTCGACGAAGAAATTGTTAAATACATTAGAGATTATGTTAAGGTCCTTAGTAGTTTCTCCGTCGCAATTAATTGAAGTATTATTATATCTTGTTGATTTTTATATTTTTTTGTTTAATAGAGAATTAATTGTCTTCCAAGTGGCCTTGATATAATTTTTATGTTTGAGGAAAATGTTTTGGAAATGTTAAGATTTAGCAGTTTTGATTATGGAGTTTAATTTATTGCGGTATTGCTTATATAAATGTTTTCGTTAGCAATAGTTGGGTGGTGAAGAAATTTGGCATAAAGTTTATGTTTATGTTTGATGGATTTGAGCAAGAATTGGACATCCAAGATTTTATTTTTTTGTTCTTAGTATTAGTATGGTTATGAAGGGGAAAATGTTTGTCATAAAGGGATTTTAGTATGTTTTCAAAGTAGTCGTATGCTAAGTAGGGGTCATTAGTATTTAGGACATCAAACCATGATTGATTATAAACTTCGTCGTGATGTATATATTATTGTTGTTGTTGCTGTTGTTGTTATTGCTGTTGTTGTTGTTGCCAGATTCAATAATTGTTTTGTGTTGTTAGATAATTAAAGTAATGATTTTTAATTTTTATCATAACTAAGCTTACTCGAAAGTATAGTTTGAAATTCGAGTGATTACATAAATTCGTCACGAATTCGCCGAATAGGCAGACTCAGCGCCATATTATGGTGCGACGAATGTGAATACAGAAAAGAAAATACATAAAACCCGAAAAGAGAGGGCGGGCTGTTGTAATTGTTTGATTTTCCCATGATTTTCCTCAAAGATAATTTATGTTTCCTTGGTTTTGTTGTTTTGTTTGATTAATTATGTACAGTCAGTGAAAACGAGTTATGCGTTGTGCTGTCAGAAAGAGAAAGTACAATATTTGGCTATTTGAGATTTACTCTGTAAATGTGTTGAACTAGCTCCATGACATCTTTTCTAACTACTGTGCTACTTTTTCGAGGAACTTGGTCGCCTTTTGATAAACGAAGAAGGTACAGTATTGTAATTTCCTTCCTCACACCCGCCGCCGCCTACCTATCCACAGGCACTGCCTTGTCATCGACGATTACACTGTGGCCGCCTAGGCCCCTTTGCAGTGAGCCCAGCCTAGGCATAGAGGATTTTATAGCCTAATTATTAATATAAATACACAGGATACTTTCCTGGAAGTGACGTTAGGCCCTAACTAATCGCTGAAACAGTGAATCACGTTGTTCTTGGCCTTAGCCTACTTTAATCACATCCGATTTAAAACCATTATATTTCCGAACTTTTCGGATTATTACACATTAGAAAAACGAGAATCTTCTAAACTGACTGGATCACTGGTTCAAAATGTAAGCTAGCAGCAATATTTTTTTTTATACATTGATAATTTATATTGATAGGGCCTGGATACAAATTGTGATATTATAAATCTATTAAATTTTAGAAAGAAAAACATTTTTCGGACTCTGCAGTTGGTAAATGCTATACGAATAACATGGAAGAAGTATTCTAGACTGGCCTAGGCCTAGTTGGGAAACAAATATAAAGATATCAAATATGATTTTCTTATCTTATTAGTCATTTACTATTTTTTTTTTTCACTTATCATGATCTTTTTCTCCATTTGTTAGATTTAAAAATTGAATCTTGAACTTGCTTAAAAGAATTTGCACTGTACACCAAAATGGTTGCTGGGTTTGCAGTGCATGAGACTATTACCGTGGTAACACAAAATGGTAATTGTGATATAGAATTATGTTTTGGGGACATCACCAAACTTCAACTTCAAGATAAAGTCGATGTGATAATGATTTCAGCATTCAGAGGTAAGAAGATTTTATTGTCTGATGATGATTATGATGATGATGAGTTTGATAATGAGATGCTAAATGATGGTGTTGGTGCCAAAATCGAGGATGAGGACAATTCAATTAAATAAATATTTATTTGACAACAATAATTATAGTATGAATTCAATAACAAATTAAAAATAAGCAGCTTTTCATTGTATTGCCTGGTCTAAAGCTTTGACTATAAAAATTAATTTTACAAAAACCCATGACGCGCCTCAATATGGTCATGATGGCATAAAATTATGACCATATATTGGCACATCGTTGGCGTACAACTGTTGTTTGTCAGTGTCAAATAAAATTTGATAGTCTGGACAGAACTTAAGGCCTGTTCAGACAATGAAATTTTATTTGACAAAAACATGTGACATGCCTAAATATGGTCTGGACAGAGCTTAACAATAACTGTGTCAGGTCAGCATAGTGTCATGACTTGTAATAAGTGAGTAATTAGATAGTATACAAACATTGACTGTTGAGGGGAATAATTCCATGAGGGGAATGGTGAAATTATTGCCCTGAGGTCTCAACATCACCGAGGGGGGAAATATTAGAGAGTAAATATTTGTTTTATATACCTCATATATAGATTCTACAAGGCATTAAAAAGTACTTACTTCCTAGCTTAGGCTAGCTAGAGGCCTACTACTAGTCTAGGCGCTCAAAGAGTGTGTCTAGCTCTTGTTCATTTCCTCAATTTCAACAGCACCCATCATCTTGCAATATTTGTTGAATATTGACAAGACATATTTAATTTGTCTTTTGGTGCTTTTGCAATCGGCTTCATCAAGAATTAATGCTAGGCCTAGGCTAGTCCTCCTTCATCCAGGAGCTCGAACCGACCAGCCTCCATTGTTTATCCTCTACTCGTTAGCAGACAAGGCACCAAATGCTACAAGATATGTTCTTATACTACTGGGTAGAGTGATATAAACATATTACTAAAATAAGGTGGCATACTTATGGAAATGTTTACAACGGATAGTGTCGATCCCGATCCATGGGATATTCAAATTATGAAAATAATTATTTAAGTGAACTGTAAACCTCTTGCCATTTTAGGTGATTATTCAGCGACACCAACATCAGTCATAGGAGCTCTGAAGCGAAACCTAAACTTAAGTGTTAGAGATCTAGCACGGAATAAGGCTGAGGATCTTCGAAACCTATACTCTTGTTGGTGGTCACATGAATTGCCAGCTGGGTTACCTTACAAAAGACTGCTCTGTTTTGAGACTAGATTGTAAGTTTCAAAATTTAATTTGTAATCCTTGCACCTAACTTTTCTGTTAATGTAAAACATGTCAAAATATTTTTTCATTCATATCTTGCAGTAAATTTGAAACATCCCATTACATTTGTTCATTAATTGGATTTTAAAGTTAAAAGTCTGTTGAGCGAAGTCTTTCATTCTGTCATCTGTCCATATTATACCTGATTTGAAAATCCCAAAATTCCCACTTAGAATATATCCTTTTAAATAGTAATACGCAATCAATAAATATATTTTATATATTTATAGCATCTTAAATTATTAGATATTTCATATCCTATAGTCTTAACTTAACTGATTGTTAGAGAAAAAATGATATACTGTAATATAAGAATTGTTGGTTATATTATCGTGGCTATTTGGTAGTAATTCGGGAGATGATTGTCTGAAACATAGGCCTATTGTCCAATAGTAACCATACTTTCTTCTTCGTTTTAGCCATGGTGCATCACGGCCTCAGGAGCTTGTTGGTGACGTATATCGTTGTCTTGTCCCAATTC